GCCTTGCACAGCACTTCAGCAATTCAGTTTAAAGAATTACTAAAAGAAGGGAAAATACTTTTGTAAGAGGAGAAAACTTTAGAAACAACGAAAAGAATAGCAATAACTTGAAGTTAGTTATCGTGCTGAGGCAGAGCTGATTACCTCTGTCCAACTGCTGAATTTAAGAGCAAATGTAACAAAAGCCAGCCAGTCAGGTACCCAAAGACAGGCGATAGGCAATCTTCCACCAGACAAAATACAAAAGAGATATGAATAATCAGGATGAAAGGTAAAAGGAATAATGAGAATAAAGCTGTGAAAAGTGAAGGAGGCAGAACTGCAGACGTAAGCTATATTGGTCGAATCAGAGAGAGTGAAGAAAAAACTTAAATAAATGCAACTACAAATCTGTGACAAAAAAAGATCTGAGGAAAATGACAAAGCCGCCAAAACAGGTAGAGAGATTAAGACTGATGAATAGAGGCAGTGAGATTGAATGAGGAAAATAAGGGGGGAATAAAGGCGAGCCGTGGAAGAGAGAAGAAAAAGCCTCTGATGGAGTGGAAGAGAGTAAGGCTGACAGTAATATGGCAACATGAGCGACAAGCAGGCACTTACTGAGGCGCTACTCTCCTCCAATATCTGTCGATGCCATTTTTGAAGTACAGCACAGCGAGCCACCTGACGTTCACATCCAGCATGTGGTTATTGAAGATATTCTATGGAGAAAAGATAAATACGCACATGTTTTTCTTAACTCAAATGGGTAATACCAGGCAAGGACAGACTCAGTAGAATACTGTGTGACAGCTCAGTCTATGCTAGACAAAACAATGTCTTGACACGAGCTTTGCATGATGTATTTAGGGATAAACATATAGAAAAAAATACATATTACTATGAATGGAATTGGGCTCTATTCTCAGCTGGGCAGAACTGGGCCAATTCCTCTACTGAATGAACAGAGATAAAACTGAAATCCATCTTCTCATTTACGCCCGGCTGAGACAATAAACAAACACATTTCCTAAAAAATGTGTTTTTAATATTCTTTTATGATCAACATAAGCTGTGTGATTAATATACAACAAATGTAATGTGCTGTTTAGGGCAGGGAAAAAGACAGAACACTAAGCTTTGTTCAATTATTATATTTCTCTGACTTTTTTAACATACTTGATCTTAAACAGTGTAAAATACAACCAGTGTTTAAAACATCTTTGAATTAATACATTTAAATAAAACGATTCAATGGAGATTTTAGTATTAGTACACAAATAAATTCTTAGCTGCCTGCCCTACAATACCTTCTTATTCCGTGTTCTCCAACCTCTCACTATCTTGTGTTTCTGTGATAAGAGTTATTGTGCAGATTGGAAAAACTCTCTTATGATTGTTTGAATTAAGTTACTTAAAAAAACTAGTGCTACAGAAAAGAGCATAAACCCAACGTTGTCCTGATTTCATGTACCATACACCACTCATTAATGCTTTGTCAGTAGATTTATTCTACTCATTTGAGAGCACCCTCACCAGGAGGACGGAGTAGAAGCCTGGCTGCGTCTCCCACTGTCGGAGCTGCTCCTCCGCGGGCTTCAGCTCAGACGTGTCCTGACTGGTAGCTTGGGTTAAGGCCTGCAGCACCACTGAACTGGCACTGTCCATATCCATCGCTGGATATATCTGCAGGGGAATATGAGAGGCGGGGGGGGAGGAGGAAGGAACAGACAAGAGAAGAGTTTCATTGTTTTTGTGTGAAGTTCATTTTGAGTTGAGGAAGAACAACATTTTTTTTTTTTTAAGTTTAACCGTAGGGATAAACAGCACAAGAACATTTCAAATGAAAGGCAGTCAACATTAATCTACAAAGAGTGGCAGTCTTTTTGGCTTTTTGTCTGGTTTGATCTTTTTCTCCCCCGTGTTATTATAGACCAAGCAGTATTAAAATCACACAGAAAACTATTTTCTACAAAATACTGCTAACTTCTCTGCTTCGTCAGCTTTCAGTGCATTCCCAATTGTTTCAGAGATTATATCTGACAAGTGTGAGAACTTTTATAACTACAAAAGAAAAACATTATTTCTGTCTGTCAACTAATCATTTCAGGATATTGCACTCAGGAGCTGAGAAGTAATCCAGACACTAGCTATGTTAAAAACACAGTTCTTTTTTCAACAGCCATATTATCTAAATAAGCATCTAAGCGACAGCCATCTGTGAGACCAGTAGAGTTAGTGTGGTCCAATTGAGTTATCCTCAGTGAACTTTCAATAAGAGTGTGGGTAAATATAGAGCAAGGCTGCCATCTGCAGCACAGAAACAAATGTCCAGCACCATGATCTATTGTGAGCTTCCAGAAATCCATGTGAATTAGTTTGGTCTCTCCACACAGAAATACAGTAGCAGCCCTTTGACCAAATATATGGCCTTCGAACAGGAACAGATTGTTTCAATAGGCAGTCTCTGAATTACACATTGTGTAGATAGACTGTAAAATTGTGTTCAGTTTATAAAGTGTGAATGAAGCAAGAGAAGCCAGCCTCTGTCTCTGGTGATATCATAAAATATAGACATTCACCTGCCAAACATAATGCAAAAATGATTACATTCAATTCACTTGTGTGCTAATATTTTGGTAGGATAGGCTGTCCCGGTTATACATTCTGACATGTAACCATCAAATCCTGGTTTCAGAAACCTGGACAAGCATGTATTCAAGTTTCTAGGGACCCAAATATCATATTAGTTATTACATTATTCCAAAGACGACACATATAATAGCCTAAATGTGTGTGATATCATGGCTAAGGAGATACAGTTGTTTTTGGTTACTTTATGTTTTTGTTTTTTATTTCTTTGATGTAGTCTGAAATTATGTCAAACAATAATATCAGGCTATCTTGGCTCAATTGTTTAGTGTTTCAAGGGAGCAAATAACAATCAAGATCCCAAAGGCATCCAGGAATTGAGCAAACCTAAGCAAGTAAACTTTGAAAACACTTATAAAGAGTGTTTTCCAAATAAAGCACATTATGTCACACCTTTCATTTCCACTACATACTGTGTTTTTATCAGGTCAGTAATGCGTGACCTGATCAAATATGCAAGAAATATTGCCTGCTTTATACATTTGTTAAAGCAATATACAACCTGTTAAACATTTAAAGTTGGCATTCTACTATACAAGGTACAACTAACACTTCATTGCTGTTGCAATATTCTAGCTACATTTGTCTGAACTAACCTCTTAAGTCATCAATGTTTTTTGGCTGTTATCCAATATTAGCTCAATATGGTGTTTTGCACATGCAATGCCCTCTAACACTAGCTAACCCAGTTAGTCAGATGATGGCTGGGTGAAGAAGTAAGCTAGCGGCAGCAGAACTTCATCAGCTAGCTCATCATGCTAAATGTTGATATCATTATCTACGAAGCGGCTAAGATTGATTTCACCAAAGCCAATTCATCCTCTGTCGGGCCATATTGCAATATAAGTGCAGCTATAATGGGTCCACGGGTATATAGACATACAAACGTTTAGAAAATGGTTTCTTCTGTATGACTGTAGTAAGTGTTTGCATGGATGTATTACGCATTTAAAATAACACAACCCCATATGAAAGGAAGCGTGTCTATCAAGTGTCATATTTGGGTTTTGAAGAGCAGAGAGAACCAAAACAAGCTCAGTGGTAGGCTGTCAGAAGAAACCAGCAACTGTTCCAGTACATTTTCATTATTTTTGATTAATTTCTGACATTATTAGACCTGCTGTATTGCCCATGTTTCTTTACTGGCCCTCTCTGCGTGTCATCTACAATTGAAATAAAACAACCCCATGAAAGGTGCGACACTGAGTTTCCAAATGGTGCAAACACCAAAGCTAACTTTGCTAGCTGGCTTAACTTATTCAACAGGGAACCAAGGGCCCACAATGTCTGTGATGCTAAATAACGTCCTCAAACAAACGTCTGAAAATAGAAACATAAAACGAGACTTACCTAAAAGAATGACTGCAGAAAACAGAATCGGTGCTGTTGTTGTGGCTGCTAAAGCTCTGCCAATGGTGGTGTAATGGGAGATGGAAACACACGCTTGTAGGAATGGCGCGAGCAACACAGCAGGCGCGCACTGATGACGCGTTAGGTTTTGCAGGCGTGCTTCGTCATGAATGAATGGAGCCATATGCTGTATGTGTCAACTTTGTTTGCATCCAAAATGTATGATGTTCACATATGTTCTTGAATAAATAAAGGAAGAAGAAAAATACAATACTCAAGAAGGGGTTTAATAGTAACCTATATCATGAACAAGGGTTGCAGGCATATCCCTTGCTGTATGATTTTAAATATCATATTCCCATTCTTTTTCAGGTGGATAGTTAGACATGTTCAAAACCTCCACATATGAGATTTAATGTGACAACAACATATACAGTATGTCACTCCGGTAAGCATTTGTGTCTTTGCACAGAACCAAAGTAAAGGTACAGTGAGCATGCATACTTTAGCAACATAATTCATAGACGGGCAGGTAAAAGGCAGGGTATCAACGTTGAAGGTATTACAAAATATTCATCAAGTGTTTTTAAGTGATTAAAAGAAAGCAGCTGTGCAGGCAGGTGACAGTATTGTGTGCTTCTTGTCAAATAGCCCAAAATCTGAAATTTGTGTCATAGGGATTATTTTTTAACTATCAGTTTTATCGGCAGCCTGCAATTCTCCATGCAACATTTCATCAGTTTTGAGGGAAATTTACATAGTATTTATGTGTGAGTTTAGAATTCTGTGGTGGGGGGGAGGAATGGGAGTGTCCTCCTGCTGATTTATTCTCTTCATTCTGTCTTGCTTTATTTTAGGTGAATCACTCAGAGCAGACATCAACCTAGAGGCTTAAGCCAGAGTCTTTTGTTGTGCAGGACAAGTATGGATTTAATGGAATTGTTTTTCATCACTCTTGGTGCTGCAGTAGTTGTCTTCTATGGAGTAAAACTGCTGCTTTTCAGTAGGATGCTTTTCCCAAAAATATGGTTTCCACTGTCACAGTCTTTTTTTACCTCTTTGGGAAAGTGGGCAGGTGAGCTGTTTGTACGTGCATGTTCTCTAATTTATGTTAGACCTACAATAAGTCATATAGTGGATAATAAATGCTAGGACATAAGTTGTCAGTGACCCTTTATAAAGGTATTATGTGGGCCAAAGAGTGCCTTTTTTTTAGATACAGAGGTGAAAGACAGGGGGAAAGGACATTGCAGGGAAGTCACCCTTTTAACTACTTACTTCGGTGATTAAGCTCAACATTTGTAATTGTGCAATTATTATGGTGTTATGAGTACATTGCTATGCGTGAAGGTTGAGTGTCCAAATATGCCTGTGGATGCAAATTGAATTGTTGCACAAGATTACACTTGTTTATTGCTCGAGCAGAGGCAAGTTCTGACTTGCCCTTCAACTGTTTTGCAATGTGTTAATACTTATGGAGCAACTGCAGCTGCTAATAGAAGCAAGACCTTATCAATGTTTTTCATCTACAAAACATATTGACACATATGAAAGAACATTTTATTTTTGGCTTACTTGCCAAATTTTTGGCTTACTTGCCAAATGCTTACTGGCAATGTGGTTTTAGTTAAATAATAGTGATTGTATATTTATGAACTGTGAATAAGAAAATAACAAACACACCACACAATTTGAACAACAGTATAAACTGCCTGGCTATCCTGTATCATTTTTGTGATGGCAATGCATTAAGGGTAATATGACAGAAGGGATTTATTACGATAAGGAAAATATTAGTACTTTTACCAGCTGTTGCAAGGAATCACACTCGTAGGATTCCTACTAACTTGAGGACAGTGTCAGTGCATTTGAATTAAACCAAAAACATTCCTCTGCAGGTCCCAGGGGTCTCATTGAATTACGAAGCTCTCTTTAGAATCTTCTGAAGAGGTAATTCAGTCTCCCACAGTGCTTAAAAAAGCTCAATAAAAACACAGGGAATAGCCAACTTTCATTCCATTCCAGCACAGAGGAATACAGACACCGGAACGGTATGTTCTAGGCTCTATACACGCTGCCTTCTTTATTCTTACTTGTCCTGACAATTTGAAATACATTTGCATAATTGTGGATATCCAGATTGTAGCCGGTCCCCATCTTTTAACCTTTTCCTGAGTCTTCAATCCAATGTTTACATTTGAAAAACCTCCACCAGACAGAAAGCAGAGTCACAACAGAGAGCCAACTAAGTGATGAATGAAACCTATCCTGATGAGAAACTCATATTCACGACACAGATATGGTATTGCTTGTCCGTCCATGTGGTCGGACGTAGCTGGGTACCATCTTTTCCACCTTTTTTCCATGTTTACTGATGTTTATATTTATTCTGATTAGTGACTCAGTCTTTAGTCAAGTTGATCATGTTTATCTAGGGGCATCCAAAAGGAAATGTCCTTGTTTTGTATTTGTTTTGTTGTCACTGGTGATCTCACTGTGAATCAGCATACAACATTGTAACTCTGGGAACAAGGAAACCCTTTTCTGGCACTGAGAAACTGTTTTCAATAGGGACTAGAATATGTATTTTATATCTGTGTGAAAAAAGATTATATTGTTTTTAAAGACGGGCTATTAAAACTGTCCAGTTTATTATCACAGCACCTGAGATGCTGCACAGTAACACTTTTAACATTTTTTTAAGTAGTAGTATCAACAGTGGTTTGTGTGGTGAGAAGTTTTATCATCCAACACTGTTGTCATTTTGTAAGGACTGTGCACACATTTGTAAAGAGCATTGAGTTCATATTTTGAACTCAAAACATTTCCTTTTTCCCACAATGAGTTATTATTACATCACAGTCCTGCAAAACATTCTTTACCGTTTTTGAATAAGTAATGATGCCATGCCCATTACTTCATGTCTGAAAAGAGTAAAAGAGCCAATAATCTTTGTAATCAGGGTCAGGAAGTGATGGGAAAGAAGAACTCAGTAACAAACAGTTCCTCTATGTTCTCCGCAAATATCTTATCAGAACTGAGGAACATGTTGTATTTGTACAACCTGTTAGAACAGGATGGGTTGGTAGTGTAAACAAACAATTTGTCTGCCAGCAGAGGAAGAGAGCCGGTGTAATGCAGCTCTGATTCACATTGCACAAGGCGTTAGGAATGGAAAGAATGGAAACTGCAGGAGAATATGACAACTAATACATTTCTTACACTAAACCCTGCATCCCTGTTTCAGTGGTGACCGGTGCTTCAGAGGGAATAGGAAGAGCATATGCATTTGCAGTAAGTGATTCTTTAAATAGCCCTGCTTGTCTTTGCATATCATTTCTTTACTCTAAGTCAGGGGTACTCAAACTTTTTTATTAAAGGTCCACTTGTGAACTTTATACAAGGTCACTGGTCCGGATCAATGCCAGTAAAGTCATTTATCAGAATCAGAATTTTTTTTTTTTTTTTTTTTATAATTTTTTTTTTTTTTTATAATGGGACACAGGGTTCGGTCCGGATTGATTTGCAGTTCGGTCCGGATCCGGACCTTGGTCCGGAGTTTGAGTATAGTACACCAAAGTTAAACATAATAACTAAGAGAAAACACACATCTTAACATTTTGTGTTAAGATGTGGTAGCATTTTTTGTTTTTTTACATACTTTTATTTTCAACACTTGGTAACAAAGGTTGTATCTATTTATTTCCTACCCAGAACATTATGCAGTTTAAGATGTACTATTTTATGCACATCTGCTCGTTTTTTTCTGGCAACTGTACATTTTTCATATCTGCAACATTGCTTCCCTCAGCTGGCTGAGAAAGGGATGAACGTAGTAATCATGAGCAGAACTAAAATAACACTGGACCAGTTGGCTGAAGAAATAGGTACAAACTTTCTATAAATGCTTTTTTTGTTGCGACTGCTTTTAAAACTTGAACGTTACACAAATATGCTGTTTGTCATCTGTGATAAAAATAAACAATGTACAGTGTATGCTGACCCTACATGTTCTCCTTTTAGTTGATACCACAGGGCAGCGGGTGAAAGTCATTGTAACAGACTTCATGAAGGACAACGTCTTCAGTGAAATCGAGGATCAGATTAGGAGCCTCGACATTGGGGTTTTAGGTTGGAATATTTATTTGTTTACAAATACATGTAGTGATTGTATGATTGAAACATTAACAGATTCCAAATACACAAGAAACATAATATCTTCAGATTCCTTCCCTGTTTCAAAGCAGATGTTTTTTTGTTCCCCAGTCAATAATGTAGGAATACTGCCCAGCTTCATCCCCTGCAAATTCCTTGAGACTGCACAGCTGGACCAGGTCAACAAATATATTTAACCTTAAGTGATACACACAAAAATGCATTGCATGTATCCTTTAGCTCTTCATGTGTTTAATGCACTACTTTCATCATAAAACAAGACAAAGTGTGTTGTCAACTTATGCCCCAGTATTCCTGATAAATGCCGTTGACAGGTAATAAGTAATGTAACGTTTTTTTAAGAAGCCCTTTATAAAAAATATATAACTTTATCTTTTTCACCCCAGTATTCTCTTTCCCTTAATTATCAACACCACTTATACATGTTTATTCACGTTTTCAGACAATCACAACAGTGATAAACTGCAATGTGAAAACCATGGCAAAGGTAGGAGTGTAATTGCAATTTTTCAGCAAAATAACTGGTGTGTAGTGTCAAAAACTCTTTACTGGGTACAAAAAAAAAGATCCAATATTTAGTGAGTACAAGTGATGGATTCTTTGTTTTCATCCAAATGAACTTACCCTTATATTTGTCCCATATTTGATTTTTTCTTTCTTTCCTCAGATGTGCAAAATAATCCTTCCAGGCATGGAGAGCAGGTTTCCTACCTTTATTTTCTCCTTTAGATGTGATGTGATAAAATCCTAACATGCATTATTTACATTGAGTTTTGGTAAACATGCAAGACCAAATAGTTTGTGTCTGCCTCTACAGGGGTAAGGGGGTCATTTTGAATATTTCATCTGGAGTTGCCTCCATTCCTTTCCCCCTGTACACCCTGTATGCGGCATCTAAGGTAAGAACAGTCTTGCATCTGAACCTCTAGTATCTCTATCTCACGTTGTTTGATCACTCAGCTGTAATTTATTTTTTTATAATTTATAGATTTTTGTGGAGAGATTCTCTCAAGGTCTTCAAGCAGAATACAAAGATAAAGGGATTATTATACAGGTACTTTGATTCATAGAGACTCACCCTCAATGTATTTATGTTTAATCAAAAGAAGGAGTGCGTTGTTGTCAACATTAAAGTGGTTTTAGAAATATTAAGATAAGATAAGATAAGATAAGATGGACCTTTATTAATCCCTGTGGGGAAATTCAGTTTTACAAAGCAGCAACAGGGTAAGCATGAAAAAACAGGACAGCAAAGATTCACACAGATTAATAAAATCAAAAATAAAATCAAGAAAAAAATTAAAATAATAATGATAATAATAATAAAAGACTATGACATAGGAGAAGAGTAAAAATAAGAGTAAAATAACTGTCAGCATATATACATATTTGGTCATCTAAGTTATGAAGTACGGAATGAGTTGTAACAACTGTAACAACTTCCTCTTTCTTTATATGCTGCCTCTATTTTTCTCAGGCAGTGGCTCCATTTGGGGTCTCCACTCGAATGACAGCATACCAACAAACCAACGTAGTGACTCTGTCACCAGAAGAGTTTGTAAAAAGCTCCCTGCAGTACCTCCGAGCTGGAGACAAAACACACGGAAGTGTCTGTCACATCGTTCTGGTAAGACTTAGTGACTAGCTTCTAGCTTGCCATCTGATAATGCCAAATAGAGACTGACTATCCCTGTGATTATGTGTGTGTGTGTGTGTGTGTGTGTGTGTGTGTGTGTGTGTGTGTGTGTGTGGTGTGTGTGTGTGTGTGTGTGTGTGTGTGTGTGTGTGTGTGTGTGTGTGTGTGTGTGTTGTGTGTGTGTGTGTGTGTGTGTGTGTGTGTGTGTGCATACAGGGCTGGTTACTGCAGTCTATTCCTCTCAAAGTGTTCTATGCAGAGTCTATGCTACGCAGCCTACAGGACTATGTGAAGAGGAAAACAGCACTGAAGGCATCCATCTGTGCATCAACTGCAACTTATGAAAATGTTAAAAATAAATAACCATATATTCCTTCCTTTAACCATGATATTTCTGTAAATCGATTATGATTACGGAACTAGTGTTGACAAACCTATGTTTTCTGTTTTTTAAACAGTGGAGACAGTTGTAACTTGTGAACGTCTTATTATTAATATTATTGGTTACTTTACAGCAGTACTTTTTTGTAAAACTGTCGGTAAGCCATCCTCATGAAATCTTCTTCATTAATGTCAATAGTTCTTCAGTTTCTAAGGATTGAAGGTATTTAGGCATCTGCTCTTTATTCCACATATACATCTATTGATATTACACTCTTACAGTAGAGAATAATACACTACACTATATAAGTTACATTTGATTTATATTAGTTTAATGGAATTTACTCTAATGATGCAGATTCAGTGTTTTTTAAGATAAGTGTGAAACATTCTTAGTTTCAGGTGATAATACAATATTTAAATATTATTTTACATTTCTGTCGATAAGTTCCCCTAAATCTTGTGACCTCTGTAGAGGCAGACAAAAACTATTGTGTGTGTCTGTGTCTGAGTCTGTCTGTTTGTCTGTTGTTACGACCCTGGGTCGTTAGGTCATTTGTGTGTATATTTTTCCCTCCTTCTGTGTGTGTGTGTGTGTGTGTGTGTGTGTGTGTGTGTGTGTGTGTGTGTGTGTGTGTGTGTGTGTGTGTGTGTCTGTGTGTGTGTGTGTGTGTGTGTGTGTGTGTGTGTGTGTGTGTGTGTGTGTGAGCAAGCAGGTGGTGCCCGTTAGCTGATTAGCTACCCTCGTCAGGCTGATTGGTCCACCTGGGGAGACGGGAGCATTTTAAGCTGCAGCCGTGCAGTTCCTCTGACTCAACTTCTCCTACTCCCAACTCTGCGGGTGTTAAAATATCTGACCTGTTGTGCTGTGTGTGTAGTTCTACCATATACCGGTCCTTTTTGTATATTTTGAAATCTTAGAAAGTTAAACTAAATGAACCTGTCTTCTAAGACACGCTTTGATTTGTTTAGGAGTGAGACATCCTCTTTTTGTTTGAACCTTTTTCTCCTGTTTACTGGTAAGAGTAGGTAAGAAGCCTGTACTTTATTTTGGTTAGGCAAGTTTAAGGAATACTCTGTAAAGACGATTTTTGTTTGTTATGTTGGGAATGTCTCACCTCTTTCTGAGTTCACTAAATCTCAAAAAGCTGATTTCCTGTGTCATTGACCTGTTCGGGAGTGGGAAAAGTGGGGAGAGTGCAACTTTGTGCTGCGCCTAGGTTCCCCTAGGCCTGGGCGTATTCTCTCACACACACACACACACACACACACACACACAAAGACACACCTGTAACTGTCATTAGTATCCTCCTTGCCCCTTTAAGATGGAGAAAACATTGGATCCGATGAGTACACCACCAGGCGTCTCTGCCGTAGTGTCAGTCATTCTGATATTCACAAAACAAGCAAAACTAGTTGTGGGTGGAAGAAAACTGACGAGCTTCTAGGTTCCTCGAAATGAGAACACATTGCATAAAAACAACATAACATACTATTACATAAAATACAAGGCATGGCTTTGACGGGCAGATGCAGATACGCAACCGTTTGAATATCTCCTACCAGGATGTCTGACCTGAAGAGTCCCTTATAATGGGGTGACCATGCTGTTTAGACAGCCGTGATGAATGATCCTCCCCATGAGAGATAGTGCAGGGAATAGGAAAAGTAGCTTGAGAAAGATCGAGAGACAGGGGGGAGCTCAGAGTGACCCAGAGTTTAGATGATCCATGCCTAGCCGTCTTTTCAAAAGGAAGATAATTACTAATCTTCACATGAGTATAGTCTTGTGCATGTGATGCTTTTTGAGAGAGCAGAGCACTATTCACAACAACAAAACATCTAAAGATAAGAATTACAGACAAGAGTGTGTGTGCGTGCGTGCGTGCGTGCGTGCGTGCGTGCGTGATTTCACTAACAAAGGACAATTGTTTAAAAAAACAATTATATTTTGGGATAATGGAGTTGTAAGCTATTTTAGTAGACATTTCTTAGTAGGGGATTCTAGTTTTTGCTATTACTTTGCTGTATTGGATTTCTGTTGGTTTTATTTCGTTTTTTTTTTTTTAAATGTATAAATGGTCAATCTTTAAAGGTCACCTATTATGCAAATCCACTTTTTCATGTATTTTATACATAAACATGTGTCCCCTCTGTGTAAAGAGATTCTGAACGTTTCAGGAAAAATGATTCGCTCACTTTTTGTCCTGATCCATTTATATAAAAAGCTGTCTGAAAATGAGCTGATCAGATTTTGGCCACTTTATGATGTCATAACGATTTTATGGCTTGTGTAACCATTAGCCAACAACCAATCAAGGTAACCCCCCCCCACCTTATCATCTGAATCTCCTCCTAGAGCACCATTGTGTTCTTTTTAACCAAATATCTCTCAGAGGGGCGTGGGGAGTGGCTCCTTATTTGCATCTAAAGTAACAGACAGAGAATCAGCACTTTTGAAACAGGGCTGAAACAGAGGGGTTTATGGGATGCTTCAATGCACGATCTCTTTGGTATTTCAAGCCAAACACTTCAGAGACATGTTTTGTATAGATCTGAGACCTATAATATATTGATGAAAAACAGTATAATAGGTGACCTTTAAATACACTTTTGTGGTGATAAATACAGTCCCTTAACATTCAGTTTAATTTGTTTTCATCTTTAAGTGTTTTAAGATTGGCAACATAATTTTGTTATGTAATTTTAAGCTCAGTCTGACAGATCCCTAAATATTGTGTTTTATCTTCCAACACCATGGTGTTTATAAAAAGTTAAAAACAAAATAAAGTATGTGAGTTGTATGTGAAATGTCTCATTGCGTTACTGGTTACTGTGACCTTCACTTTCTTCATTTTATATATAAAAAATTCCTGATTTGAGTAATGTCTTTAGAATTACAGCATGTACAGTACGTGCCTGAGAGAATGGAAAGACAAAGTGTTATTAAACTTCAGTACGTCAACGTTTAATGGTGCAGATTGGTGCTTAACTCCTGTTCTGCTTAGATCACTGACATGATCACAGTACCTGGCTTCACCACCATGAGGTTTATAACAACTGATAAAGTTAATAATTTAAACCTTATTACACATTCAATTGTCTCTCCTGTCTTTGAAAGTCTTAGACTACCAACAAAGATTTGTTTATTAAATTAAATGATGCAACTTTTTATAATATTGCTTTTAGAAATGACTTAAGGCTCGAATCAAAGTAAGTCAGAGGGACCAGCTAACAGAGGAAGACTGGCGAGTCTTTTTTGGAAAAAATGGTATACATTTGTTAATAAAATTATCTGGGGGGGTAGTAAATAAATAAGAAAACTAACACTTAAGACATTTTCTATATCTGATGTCTTCAGTCTACTATTTTTTGTATCAATGAAACACACTATTCTTAAGCCTTCATGTTACATATTCTACTAAATGGTTTAAAACGCTACAACAGTCTGAAGTGTAGTTTATTTAATGAGAAATTCCTGTGATCATGTAGCATTCAATATAGCCACTAGAGGGCACCAAATATAAAGGTTTTCAGTGCCTCCTGATTGCTGTCATATGGACACACACACACACACACACACACACACACACACACACACACACACACACACACACACACACACACACACACACACACACACACACACACACACACACACACACACACACACACACACACACACACACACACACACACACACACACACACACACACACACACACACACACACACACACACAGCTGAGGACAGAGGCCTGTACTACGAAGCTGGATTTTCGCTTAGCCGGCTAACTTCAGGGAAATCTCGGGCTTTCCGGTCCTACGACGCTGGTTCTCTTTTTAGCAGGCTAGATTTCCATGGTAACTTATGCTGAGCGGCAAACCTGCTCCGGAGCAGGTTAGGTGGCAGGCTAACTCAGTGAAAGCACCGCCTGCTGACCAATCAGAGCTCCGTGTGCGGAGTTTAAAGCGATCAATTCATATTACAGGATAGAGGAAATACAGTGTTTAATACCAGAGGCCTGTACTACGAAGCCGGATTTTCGCTTAGCCGGATGACTTCAGGGAAAACTCGGGCTTTCCGGTCCTACGACGCTGGTTCTCTTTTTAGCATGGTAACTTATGCTGAGCGGCTAACCTCCTCTGGAGGAGGTTAGGTTGCAGGCTACGAGATCAACTCAGTGAAAGCACCGCCTGCTGACCAATCAGAGCTCCGTGTGCGGAGTTTAAAGCTATCAAGTCATATTACAGGATAGAGGAAATACAGAAAAACTGCCGTTGCAGGAAAGACGGCCGGCCAAAATCAACTGACTATGTGAACGTGAAAATTAATAGAATATCCCCTCCCATCTTCAGAGCAATCTGACTATTATAATATTAGCGTTAAGAAAGCTTACTTAAATATCTGCCACGACATAAGTAACCGGATCATAGTAACATTAAGTACAGTCCGCGGCACTGTGAGTGCAGACGTAGATGTGTCCCATTATCATTCATATCATATCACCAGTGGCGTTTTTATATGTACAAAAGTGGTGGGGCACAAAAAACTTAGATGTCTATATATAAGCTTCTGCAGTGATGTGCAGTGAGGTTCATGGCTGCTGAGGCACTGGCACTGACTCTTCAGGTTTACAAATATTATATTTTGACCTAAACCAAAATATAATATTATTTTCAAAAGCTTTTTTTGTCTGATGCTTCGATTAATTTTAAACAGACAGTTCAACAAAAGGATACCCAAAAAATGTAATTTTATCATTTAAATATTGAATTGTTCTCTCTTAGTAAGATCCCATTTTCAATAAAATGGCGGTCTTACCTTGACTTGAAGATGAAGTCCATTTGCCTATCCTTCTGGACAAACATTTCTATTACTTTTTTGTAAAAGTCCTCCTTATCTTCTCGTAGTTTCAAAAGTCTATCATAAATCTAATCCATAGATTTATGATAAAAAAATTATAAAAGTAGGGTAGACATGTGGATATTATCCGGCTAATCAAAACGTGCATTTATCTAACAGGTACGTTTCCCACAGATCTTATTTCGAGCTATTTTCTAAAATCCTCTGGAGAAATCTCATTGCTTTTTTGTGCTTACTTCCTGGTTTTAGGACGCGCCACTGCAGCTCTCTCGTCTCCTCTTCACACACCACACTTTTCGCGGCACACGTACTTACAGCCAATCAGATCTGAATGATTTGAGATGACGTATGGTGGGGATGGTAGCTCCGTGCCCCTCTGGTCATTATTTTTTTGCCACACACATTACATTACAAAATACTCTGAGCATGCGCAGTGTAGTTTTTACAGTCACCGTTCACTTAGACAGCGAGAGGAAGGGGCATAATCAGGTTTTGTCCCACATGGCTCTAAACAGCTCAATAGGCACACACTGTGACTGTAGACACACTAATTAGAAGAACACAGACTAAAACAGCAATGTACAGACGAATCAGATGATTAAACATGATCTTAAAATATATTTTATATATTTTTTTATTTATTTTTTTGCATTTTTGTAATCATTATTTGTAATACTTTCTGCTGACACTAGGTGGGGCTG